CTCTCTGCTTGAAAAAAAGCGACCTTCTCGAAAATCTGCGGGCCTCTATTGCAATATTTCGGCTTGGATACTGCATTAACAGTAGCTATCTTAAATGCATTACAAACATTTTATCCATTGATCCCTAACTTAATTTCTTGGACTCATCGGGAGTTAGCTATGCAACATATTTGCTAGTTACATCCAGTTTCCCTGTTTTTGCAGGAAGCTATTCAATCACTAAGTCACAAAGCCGCATTCGCAAAGACAAGTATTAGCCTTACATGTCCATCCTCTGTAATCATCAAGTTGTCGCTATGTCGATCTCCGATGCCCAGCAAAAATGTGGCAACACAGTAAGCACCACAAGAGCGCGCAAACCGCTCGCTTGCCTGGGCCATTGAGTCGATATTCCTATTTTTGCTAGCGAGCCAATTATATAAGAAGCTGACTGATTGACCCTGTTGAGGCTCGTCGAAGGTAGGATGAGTTGCGCATGGTAACAAGAACTGGTCTGAGCGACGCTTGTACCTGCACAGAATTTGTGGATTACTTGAACGCCGTTTGAATCTAAGACTCGCCTTGACTCCGGCAAAGTGCAGCCGAGACTCAGGTTGCTGCTTATTCACTTCATCAGCTTCGCCAGTATCGATACTACCAGGCTGATCTATAATTTTCGCTGACTTTGGAAGCATATTGGATATATCAACGATGCTATTAATGAGCCGCTTTTTGTGTAAACGAAAATACATCCATGCCCAGCGCCGCTTGTATGGATCGCAATTGTGCATATCAACACTGCCCAATTCTTGCTGGGCATACAAATGTGGACAACTGCCAGCAGAATTAGAAAGTAACCTCGTCTGATCAGAAAGGAGATCAGCTTCAATGCGAGCTCGAGCCAAGGTCACTGCGTGTGGTACCACTTCAACATAGCCCTCCAATGAACCACAGGGTAGAACGTCGTAAGGATTGAGCCTAACAATGCAGAATACACACATAATTGATTACGATAATATAAAAAGAATTTTGAGTGAAAGGCGCATACCATTCACTTGTTCAAGCTGACTTCATGCTTGAATCCTACATGCCAATTTCCTAGGATCGAAATTATATAAATGAATCTAATTCACATAATTATATTTAATCACTAGAAACGTTTTACGATTACTTAGGGGCTGACCTAACTAGTAATTGTTATGAGCCCACCATAAAGGTAAACAATTAGGACTTTCTAAGTTGAATATCTCAGTTCCTTAAAACATTAGCGTTAGCTTGTCAAACATTTTGACATAGAGCTAATAGGTACAACAAGTAGGGCAAACTTATATGAATGTGGGAAAATTCAACTCGGTCTTTCATTTTAGAGACGAAGAATAACT